GAGTTGTTGTAAAGCTTTTGGTTTGACAGAACACCGGGCAGCCTTTAAGAGTTGTTGCAAAGTGCATGGATAAATTCGCTGATGTTTTGTCAGGTGCTGCCCCATGTTGGAAACTTCCTTCTGAACTACACGCGTGGGTCCCCTTCCCAAAGCAGTGGGCGGGACTGTCCCTTACTGGGATGATTCCCCTTGTAGTCCAAACAACGAAAACACTCACTGCACCTGCGGATTCCTGAATCACGTCAGGGTCACCACTTGTAGCAGCAGCTTTACCGATGCTTGGTAGCGAAGAAATAATTACTCGAAACACATAGTGTTTAAGAGAGAAGGGAAGAGACCAAAGTCTGAAAGAGAAAATGGCCTCCCCAGCTAAGTTCCTTCCCGTATTTATTACCAAGGACACGTGCAAAACGTCAGGGCCATTCGCTAATTTCTTTAATGACATCCATACACACAGCACACAGCAAACAAGCAGCTTCGGGCAGGCACTTTCACCTGTCCATTCACCCTACTCACGTTCTTGCCATCTATCCATCCTTTTTTCTAGGCCCAGCCCCCACAGGAGAAAGAAAAGAAGAAAGTTCTACATGATTTTAAGTAATTCAAATCTTTGGGTGTTTACAACTAACAGAGAGGACTTGTTTCTTTCTTTGACTATATTTGAATTTTAAATAACAATTGTACCTCCCTCCCCAAAATAAGTTTGAATCCATGTCTTATACCACATTTAAAAGTGAATTCCAGAGAAATTGAATACTTAAGTGTAAAAGTTTTAAAAAGCTATAAATAAAATAAAATGTAGAAAGTCATCTTTGCAACCTATGAGTAGATAAAGACATTTTGAACATAAAGCTAAATCCTCAAATCACAATGTCAAAATTGGATAGGTTTAACTTCATCAAAATGAAGGATTGTGGTTCAATGAAGGGCACCCTAGGAAAAGTTACCAGATTAAAGAAAACATCTGCAATATCTAAAGCCAAAGGATATTAATATCTAGTAAATACCCCCCCCGAAGAAACAAAACAAAACTCCTGCAAATCAATAAGAGAATAATGCAATAACTAATAGAAAAATGGGCAAGTATATGAACAGGTAAAACCCAGTTGTCTAACAAGTATATGAAGCTCGACACCATTAGCCATGGAAGAACTGAGAGTTTCAACATCAATGAGCTTCTACATTATCCATTAGAATGGCAAAAATGAGAACACTAGATAATATCAAATGTTGGAGAGATGGAAATGACAGAAATTATTAGATACTATTGGAGGAAATATAAACTAGTCCACTGGTTCTGTAAGCAATCTATAACAGTATTGGGGAGATTAAATATGAGAATGTCCTGTGATCCAGCAATTGACTTCTGGGCATGTATCTCAGGGATACTCACATCCAGATGTGTAAAAGAACATGTACCTGGATGTTCTTGGCTATGTTATTTGTGGTATGGAAATTGGAAACAATGTCCATGATTAGAGGAAAGGATTAGTAAAATGATATAGAGACATATTATGACAATATTATACAATTATAGTCCTATATCACTTAATGCCAGGGATACAGTCTGAGAAATGTGTTGCTATGTAATTTACACTTACACAAACCTGCACGGTACAGCCTACTACACACCTAGGCTATGTGGTATAGCCAGTTGCTCCTAGGCTACAAAACTGTACGCTGAATACTGTATGTCACTGTAGCAGAATGGTTAAGTATTTGTGTATCTAAAGATATCTAAGCATAGAAAAGGTACAGTAAAAATACAATATAAAAGATAAAAAATGATACACCTGTATAGGGTGTATCATGAATGGAGCTTAAAGGCCTGGAAGTTGCTCTAGGTGAGTCAGTGAGTGAGTGGTGAGTGAATGAGAAGGCCTAGGACATTACTACTAAACTTTATAAACACTGTATACATAGTCAATACTAAATTCATTAAACAAATCTTTCTTCAATAGTAAACTAACCCTAACTTACTATAACTTTTTTATTTTATACACTTTTTAATTTTTTTAACTTTTTGACTCTTGTAATAACACTCAAAAATATTTTCTTTCTACATCCTTATTCTACAAGCTTTTTTCCTATTTTTAAATTTTTTGTTTATTTAATTTTTTAACCTTTTTTTAAAGTAAAACACAAACCCGCACATTAGCCTAGGCCTACACAGGGTCAGAATCATTAATATCGTTGTCTTCTACTGTCACACCTTGTCCCACTGAGAGGATTTTTTTTTTTACTTTTTTGCTTTTTAATTTTTTATTTATTTTTACTCTTTTAATTTATTCTTTTACTATAACAGGCATGGAGCTGTCACCTCTGTAGTGACAATGCCTTCCTCTGGAACACCTCCTGAAGGACCTGCCTGAGGCTATTTTACACTTAACTTTGTTTGTAATAATTAGTTGTACACTCTAAAATTATGATAAAAAGTATAGTATAGAAAATACATAAACTAGTAACATAGTAGTTTGTTAACAGTATCAAGTATTTATGTACTGTACATAATTGTATGTGCTATACTTTTCTAAGACTGGCAGCTCAGTAGGTTTGTTTACACCAGCATCGCCACAAACATGAGTGTAATTCACTATGTTACAATGTTATGACAGCTACAATGTCACTAGGCAATAGGAATTTTTCAGTTTCATTATAATGTTATGGAACCACTGTCATAGATTCTGTTTGTCATTGACTGAAATGTTATATGGCACATGACTTTCTAAAATAACAAACCACATAGAGTAACACAGATAGACGTAAAACACAGATTGCTGAGTATCTTTTGCAACATTCTACTTATTAAAAATACCTAAACTAAACATGACATATTTTCCAAAGGAGACATATATATATAAATGAATATATAAATTATATATATATATATATATAAATCATGTTGTGTTAGTTGCCTTCTGGAGGAGAGGAATGGGTGGGAAATGGAAATTAAGGGGGGAAATAGAATAGGGTCTTGCATGCACTGATGATGCTGTACTAGAAACTGAGGAGTATAATTAGCTCAATTCTGCACCTGAGTTTTAAACACACACTCACACACACACATCCCAAGTTCTCCCTGAGTTCAACTGGTTATTATCTAGCAAGCCATATCTGCAATGAGGATGCTGGCGTAAACCGTCTAATCTTATTAAACTTTTTTGGTTTCACTACCTTAGTGGTTCACAACAGGGGCAATTTTGCCTCACCCCCTCCTTCCAGGGCACATGGGGCAATGTCTGGAAGCATTTTTTGGTTGTCACCACTTGGAGAGTAGGAATGCTGCTGTCATCTAGTAAAAGGGCCCAGTGATGCTACCAAACATACTGCAGTGAACAACACAGTTCCCACGACAAAGAAGCACCCTTTCCAAAATGTCAATAGTGCAAGGCTGAGAACCCCTCTGCCATCTCATTACCTTATCCTTGTAAAGGGTACCTCTTTGGTCTTTGGGAGGCCACCCTTCAAGCTGACCAAGCTGCTCTTTTCTTCCCTCACTCCCTACTTCCTCACTGTCCTCCCAGTTTCCTTTTCCAATCTTCTTTCAATTCTCCTCAAGCACAATCTACTCATATTAGATATTGTGTTATGATGCTGCACTCCCTCTAGAAGTCATTAATTAACTTAAATATCACACTAACTTTAATTACTTATATCAAGACTATGAGTGGAATAAACAGTAAGCCTTTATTAATTAAAGAAAAAAATTGATAAAATGCCTCTCACTCCTTTTCCTTTTCTCTCTAATGAGTTGCTCCTCCAAACACTCATTTTTTAAAAATGAAGGATATCCAATCTAATATTCACTAAGGGCCTCTACTAAGTCTTCATGAATTTGGTGAGGAAAGAAAGGAGCTAATAAGTTTCTTAGGAGGCCAACAGTTTAAAAAGAACAAACAGAGGGTGAGGGTGGGGTCTAGGGTGGGGGTGGGAGGATTAGAAGTAGAGTTTGGGATGTCAACCACAGAAGGACAAACTCGGGCCAAGGGGATAGTGAGTAGGATGGGGATTGAGTTTCAGCCATTGGAGATCTGGGACTAGGATCCTTCACTGAAACAAGAGGGAAGGAAAAGAAGAGAGTGAGGCTGACTTTTTAACCAAACTCCGAAATTCTCCAAGCAACAGAATGGGCCAAACGTATACCAGGTGGGATTTAAGTTTAAATGAAAAGGAAAAATTTTCAGATAATGGGGACTGTTACATTGAATTTGAATGTTGTGGCTCTCCTGCTCTGTTGGTCTTTAGTACTTTTTTAAAAGGGCTTCAGTATCCAGTATTGTAGCCTAATTTAGGCTAAGGAGCCGATTAAATTTCTTAAGAGCTGTGATTTCTGTTTTCCAGTATTTTCCCTGAAGTTTTTTCAATTGTTATTTGATACCTTGTCTCTTGGGCACTCACATCACCTTTCAAGTGCCTTTGAGTATAAATTATCCCCAAAAGACAAGTTGTTCCTCTCATCAATATATCCTGGTTTTCGGGGTTGTTGATAGTGGTGGCAGTGGCGTTTTTGTTTTGTTTCTTTCTGTTTTTTAAGAAATGAAAACGTTTGGAAAGTTCCTGAAGAGACATTATCCTCCTCAATTTTATTTAGCCCGAGCAGGAGGAATACCAATATGTTCAGATCTAAAAGCAGTCTTCTTTTTCTTCTCCAGATAAAAAAAAAAAACTTCTAATTCTTATGAATCTGGACTTGAATTTACTTTCTGAAAAAAATAAAGAAGGGTAGGAAATATTGGGCTCACGTGCACGTTATTCTAAGATATGCCCTCACTTCTGCTACCTAATAATTAAATTACCCCTTACTACCCTTCGGAAATCACACTCCTGTTTCTTTAACAAACTGTAAGCGACAAGGGGGCGGGCCTTCGGGGCGGGGAAGGCGCTGATTGGTCCTATGGCAGGAAGTAGGAGGTGAAAACGCCGCTTCTATTATTGTCCAAGGCTGCGGGGTGAGAGGCCGGGGCCAAAGAGGGCTTCAAAACGCAGGAACCGCCCTTGCATCATAGCGCTAACGTGGGAACGTGGGGGGTGCAAAACGGGTCCCCTTCATCCCGGCGGGTTCCGGGGCCTGGCAGCCTTTACGCGAAGGTGCTACGCCCTAGCGACTGGGCCGCAGTGGGCCCGAGGTCCACTCGGACCGCCAAGACCGCCCGAAGTCCCCGGAGCTGGAGGGAAGGGATTGCCTGGGCGCCGGCCGCCGCTCTCACTACTCGGCCGAGGCCCCTGTCTCAACCTAGGTTCTCTTTTTCCTCTGTTCTGCAGGCTCGCTTCCGGCGTCATGGCTCAAAGGGCCTTCCCGAATCCTTATGCTGATTATAACAAATCCCTGGCCGAAGGCTACTTTGATGCTGCCGGGAGGGTGAGTTTGGGATATATCTGCCTGCATCCCTGCCTCTCTCCACGGTGATTGGAGGGGAGCTCAGTTTTGCCTGAAAGAAAGCTATGAACATCCCCTTTTGAAGAGTATATGATTTGAGAAGAAATATATAGGATATTTTTAAATACGTAAAATACACGTTAAAATATGCAATTTGAACTGTAGCATAGTGTTGAATATCAATGAGATAAGGAGTCGTTTATATTATAATAATTGAAGAAACAACCTCAGTCATTGATAATTTATAAAAATTGACAGATACGTAGTTTACCTTGAAATTTGCATTCTCAGTCTGGTGAGTTGAGGAATCCTAACGGTATTCACACGTGCTATTTTATTCCTTTATGATTGTACACAAGTATGGGCGGGGTAATGGCTAAACTGTGGCTTGTGGTAAGGACATCTTTAAACTGATGTCGTTAGGAGAATTTGGGGACGTGGGAGACCTGAAATTTGTACCATTGCCACTATTTACAGGTCATCCCCACAGTTTTAGTTACTAGTTTGATTTTTGGGGAAAAAAAAACTAGTAAATTAAACTGGTTAGCACATCACAAGCCACTGTGCAAAAGAGAACCTGGGTGTGAGATACCAGAGGCCTGTGTTTTCTCATGCCTCTTTGGGTGAACATATTTTTAAGAGGGAATGCAATTCTTCTTAAGAATACCTCGTTTTGAGAAATCCTAAGAATGAGTTAGATTGGAAGGGTGCACTCACTTTTAAAAAAAATTGTACAGTTTATTTCTTTCAAACTTGTCAGTCATACAAAAAGCACTTCAGGTATGATATAATGAGCTTATAGATTTCATATCTGTCAAGTTAGCTGTATGTGGGTCTGTTTGTTTTTTCCTTAAAACACTTGTCGTTATATATTAACTTGGGTCATTAATGCAGATGGGAGGGAAGAAAGATGAAGAAGAGGTGTAGGGTAGAAGGCTACCAAAATGTATATGGACTTAGAGTCAATCTGATTATTTTAAGACCAAGATTGAGCTGCCCAAACAAAGCTTTTTATAAAGATTTTGAGGTGAGGTCAGATGGATTCCCTCTGGCCACTTAGGCCTGAGTTCTGTCTAGCTCTGCAAATTCTGAAGCTGAAATATGTGTCTTGTCTTGTTGGCGGAGGACATGCTGCTTCATGCTAACTTGGCAAAGAGAATACTTGAGGATGTGTTCTAACAATAGAAGCCTTCAATAAAATGTAGCTCACTCTTTAGGCTGTTTATAAATTAAATGATTTTTATGAATTTAACCCTTTATTTCTAAGGGGAAAAAAATTCATAAATTTAAACCCTGACCCCAAAATAATAATGTAATTTATTGCCTAACAGAGTTTTTAGACATCCTAGAAAGAAACTTGCATACCAGTTTTTAAAGATTTGTCCTGAAGATTTGTCCTCCTTAATTTGTTAACACAAAGATTTCAGTAAGGAACTGGTCTGTTTTCCGGTATTTATCAGGCTTTTAGAGACTTCTCAAATTATTGCTAGAGTTTGAATAATTTGGTGGTCTACCACAAGCAATCAATATTCTCAGGCAGGTCACCTTTATTGAATGCAATATATGCCAAATAGAAAATGACTTCCCTTCCTGAGGCCGAGGTGTTATTATTCTTGGTCTCTTGAAGGCTAGCCAAGATGATAAATTATACATGATCTATGTGCAGAAGATGACATGTTCTCATGTAGATGCACTCTTCTATCTAGTTGAGATTTATAGACCTTTTATATTAACATTGAAGCATATTTTATCTTACTAAATATATTTTCAAGTCCTGTTGAAATCTTAACCTCTTGGCAGATATTGTTAAATAACGGGAATGTGTCTGTCAAACAATATGGTTTCCTCTTTAGGGTGTGAAATAAGGGATCATAGTGGTGCTTTATAAAAAATAATCCAATTAAGATTGAGAGTCTAATTTGCCTTATCAGCAATGCTCGTCGGAAGTGAATCTTAATGTCTTTTTAAATTATTATTAATTTTGATATTGCCTTCTTTCTTTTTTCAGTGTTAAGATGCCCATTTTTAAAAAGGAGATTCTATTGCTAACAGGTAGTGGTTAGGTTTGTTTCTACAATCCACACATGGTAAAATAAAATGCACCCTTGTAATGTTCCCCCACATTGTTTAGAAATTGTATTGCTTTGTGAAATCTGAGCCATGGAATCGCAGCAAGTTCCTGAAATTATTGAGGGATACATTAAAATGACCTTTTAAGACACTTGATGATTCAGTGTATACAGAACTTTAAAAATATTTTTCACTTGTCTTTAGGAAGAATAACGTAATGATTGTTTGGGCCTCATAGTTTGTTCAGCATCTGTGGGCCTTCATGTGAGTGTTATTCACCCCAGAACTTCAGCCTTAGTGTACTTTCAGTCCATACCCAAATTCTTACTTGTCATAGACCCTTGGGCTGCTGAAGAATGGTTAAAATGTCAACACTTACATGCCTGAATGGGAGAGACCTGTGACACACGATCTCATTTAATCCTCAAAGTATATTTTGAAATTGGCGGGGCAGGTATTATTATCCTGACTATATGGAGGTAATTGAAGCATGAAGAAGTTACTAGTTGAGCAATATCACTCAGCTAATAGTGCGTAAGGATGTAGCCAGGCTTAGTCACTAAGAAATAGTTAATGAAGCCCCTACCCTTTGCAGAGCACTGGGCATAGGTTTGTGATAGCTGGGTTTGACATTCTTTCCACTCTACTTGAGGCTTCTAAAATACGTGAATTTGTTTTGCTTTTCTTGTACTCCTTCAATTTTTAAAAAATAATTCCATTTTTTTAATAACAAGAGCAATTAGAATGTTTCTTTAAGGGATTAACATTGCTACTGCTTGAATACTAAAAATCCAATGCCTCAAAAGCATCAAACATCTTCTGATTTGTGCTTAATTTAATAAAATAACTTGTTATTATAATAATAAGTATTGGTTTAAGTAATAGATGATCTGTATTAGGCGGAAAATTACTGTGAGACAGTTTATCATTTGCAGTCTGTTTTAGTATTTAACTAAAAATCTTATGTCAAACATTTAAGTTACAACAGTATTTCTTGCCTTGAGTAGAAAAATAATAGACGTACTTTTGTTAATATGCTGTTGTTTAAAAATGGCTAATAAATTGTCCACTTCTCCCAGGAGGAAAAATGTGGCGTAAGTGGAAATGAAATACCTTCCTATCTTTAATAGGGTATAGTCCAAGAAGTTGGGCAGCCCATATTTTTTTGATATTTGTTTTCCCTTAATATCTACAGCTGACTCCTGAGTTCTCCCAACGCTTGACCAACAAGATTCGGGAACTTCTTCACCAAATGGAAAGAGGCCTAAAGTCAGCAGACCCTCGAGATGGCACTGGTTACACTGGCTGGGCAGGTATGAAGTGCTGACTGTGAGCTGGCATAAGCATCATACATGAGAGCCAACGCATTACTTTTTCAAGAGCTATCTGATGGAATGGTGTATGCTTAAATGCTTCCTGCTCTGCATATGAGTAATTGCTTCTGGGAGATTGGTGTGCTCTCAACCCAGCATGGTATCTTCTGGATTTTTAATAGTGCCTTGAACTTATGCAGTGCTAAGCATATTCATGTAATTCATGCTTGATATTTGGATGGCTGCCATATTTGTGGGGAGAAAAATTGACATAGTTAATTTGGAAGTAGAATTTCAGTGGGAAGAGTTGGGAAGAATTCCAAAATACAATACCTGAAACAGAGGGAAGGATTTATCCTTAGGAAATAAAATATATCCAGAAGCATCATTTTTTAAATAGTTACCCATAACAGGGATCTGTATAGGAACACAGGGTGATAAAATATTGATTCCATGAACTAATCTTTCCATATGATAATTGCTGGTTGGTTTGCATTTGCTGTATTGTCAGTCTTCAACCAGTGATAGGTTGGAGAAGGTTTGGAAAGAAACACCATTGGTGTCAATAAGGTGAAGAGAAATCAAAGAAGGAAAGTTGAAGAACTGTGGTTAGTTTGCCAAACGTAGAGAGACCAAAAGACAGCTTTATAATCTGCTTGAAGAAAGCACAATCTAGAGACTCAGTGTTTCCCATTTACTTTGACGAGGGGTCAAGGAGGAAGAAGTTTGCAGTGTTAAGAAATTTGAATTTGATTTTAAGGCAGTGGTGCATGTCATAAAAATGTGGGTTTGTGGGCCTCATAGCAGAGATTCTGATTCAGTGGGTCTCAGGCAGGACGTAGGAATTTTGCATTTTACAAGCTTCAGTGGTCCTGATGTAGATCGTGATCTATGGTCTGCAATTTGAAAGCTTCTTTATGGGAGAAGTTTACTAAAAGCAATTTCTTAGCAATTCTCTTTAACACAGGTTGAACGTCCCAAATACAAAAATCTGAAATTCACAGTGTTCCAAAATCCAAAACTGAGCACCAACATGACACTCAAAGGAAATATTCATTGGAGCATTTCAGATTTCAGATTTTCAGATTTGGGATGTTAACCGGTAAGTATAAGACAAATATTCCAAAATCTCCCCCAAAATTTGAAATCGAAAACACTTTTGGCTCCAAGCATTTCAGATAAGGGATACTCAACCTATAATGACCTGTGATTCTGTTTTTTTCTTACAAGAATAGGGAAGGCAGATAAAATCAGTAAAATTATAATCTCAGGGATGTTTAAGGTCAGTATTTTATAAAATAAGACGAATGACCTAGATAATATTGGGCCATCCCTTTTATAGTTCAGTTTTATGATTTTTGTGGATTTTAGAAGCTTATCACAAGAAATGTTAAGATGTGAATAAAATGAAAGTATTTGGCTTCAAGAAGGAAATTTTAACAGCTGTTATTTATTATCTACTGTGTTCTAGGTGTGGTATAATTGTCAGGTTAATCTCATCAGTTAACATTTCTATTCTTTATTTAAAATTATCAGGATTTGAAAAAAACAGGACTAGTACAATGCATGTTTGTCTTGAGCTTTCCTCTTGATTGTCACATTGCAATAATAACTAAGACTCAGGCTTATAGATCTTAACTGAGTATATGTGGAGTTTCTATTATTTTGTTATTCCTGGGCAAAAAAAAAAAAAGGGGGGGGACAAATAGATTGCTAAGTCTTAATTTCAGGACTGCTTACAAAAGAATGACTTAAATCTTTCAATCACCTGTACAGATGAGCTTATATTATTATTTATTTATTATAAGGTACCCTGCTTTAGGAGGAAACGAAGTGGGGGTTGATTTCGTTGGAATTAATAGTTAGACAGTGTTTGGAAAAGTTATCAGTGAGACCCTTGTATTGCTTTTGCTAGTTCAGAAACCAAAAATAAAGCTTTTCCTTGGACATAGAAAAGAAATGTCACTGCCAAGTAAAATGCAATTTGTTTAAATTTTTTGGCTGTGTAGGGTTTCCAGCATCATTTCCTTTGAGTGCCAATATCCTTCAACCTTTTATCCTTAAGTATCTATGCTACTCATTGCTAGCTGCTGAAAGCAGCTTATATGGCAAGTTTCTGAAGCAAATTGGCACATTAAGCAGTTTAGGATCTCTTCAGTAGCTGGTTGTTTTATGAGGTAGCATAAGATTTTCCAGATAAATTTGCTAATGGCTTTCAAGGCAAGGTTCCAATGTCTTCTAATCGAACACTGTTAAAAAGCCATAATTCCCACATAAAATAGACTGTCTCCTCCAGTGTTTTGATAAGTAAAATGTTGCCCTGTGCCAGTGTTCAGACAATCTGACTAACAAAGCTCTGAATTGCATAAGAAACTAAACCTGATTTTACCACAGAAAACCACGTTAATACCTTCCCCTCCTCCTATACCTTCTATACCTTACCAACTATTGTCTAGTCATAACTATAATTTTATTTCCAAAAAATGTTTTTATAAAAAACACAAATATTTGGTGTTGTGTATCCAAACAAGGTTTATATAATTATGTGTAGATTTGTATGTTACTTTGTGTCCACGTTGCTTTTCAAAAAGTGATAGTTTTTAGGAAACAGGCATTATATTTTTTTAACTTTGTTCAACCCCAAATTTGGGGCCATATTTTATAAATATTAACTTATCATTTGCTCTTGTCGCTAATGTGTTAAAAATTACGTTATTTTGGGAGACACTGATTCGTTGTAGAAAATCCTTAACTTTCTTCAACATTGATATTTAATGAGCGTTTGTTATCAATGTATGAGGAAAACTTTCACAAGTTATTACATTATTCAGCATATAGTTTGAGAAAACTACATGATTATTACAATTAGTTAGAACTTTAAATTACTATCTTATTGTGTTAAATTTTTTTTTGGTATTTATTTATTTAATTTTTATTTATTTATTTTGAGACAGGGTCTCACTCTGTTGCCTGGGCTAGAGTACAATGCATCATAGCTCACTACAATCTCAAACTCCTGGGCTCAAGCGATCCTCCTGCCTTGACCTCCCGGGTAGCTGGGACTATAGGTGTGCACCACTGTGCCTGGCTAATTTTTTATTTTTTGTAGCAACAGGGTCTCTCTCTTGCTCAGATTGGTCTTGAACGCCTGGCCTCAAGCAGTCCTCCCACCTTGGCCTCCCAAAGTGCTAGGAGTACAGGCGTGAGCCGCAGAATCTATTTTATTGTGTTAAATTTTATTCCTAGTAGAACTATGGTCTGATAGCTGATGGTGGTTCAAATAAGATTAGGATTTGGGGCAGGATTAGGTTCAGCTGCCTATACCCCCCAAAAAGAAAACAAAATTATAAGGTTTAAATAAGATAGTGTATTTTTCTCTCACGTAAAAGAAGGCCAGGGCGAAGCAGTCCAGGGCTGATATGGTGGCCTCAGGATATCAGTAGGAACCCAGGCACCTTTCTGCTCCATCATTCCTCAGCCACTAGCTTGTACCTCTTGGTTAAGATGGCTGCTGAAGATCCAGTCATTACATCAGCTCTCAGGGCTGCTGGGAAGAAGAAGAGGCAAAGAAGAATGCATTCCTTCCCGTTAAAAAGACTTCTTGGAGTTCCACTCAGCATTTCAATTCTGCTTACTTTGCACTGGCAGTCACATGGTCACATAGTCATTCTTGTTAGCAAAGAAGGATGGTAAATGTAGTCTGTTAGCTGGAGTTCTGTTACTAAAAAAGAAGAGTGGATTTGGGGATAAAACCTTGTAATCTCTGCTATAATGCCTATATAACAAGAAAATATAACAAAGATTTTCTTCTTTATTCCTATGTTTTGCACAAGGCATTTGGACAGTGAGCTCCAATTTTTCCATCTGCAAAAGGATCTCTAACTCTATCCACTTTCAGGGGGATTTTCGTAAATAAATTTACCAACGTCTATAAAATTTTTTGAAATTTGCTAAGCAATGTTTTGTTGTTCTTTATTTCCAGGGAGACTTATTTGGATTTTGATTCACAATATCTTTATTCTTTTAAATTTTTATCTTCATTTCAATAGGTAATAATCTTTGCATAAGTCTACCATAGAAAGGAAGTATTGCAGGAATGCCAAATCATAAGTAATTTTTATAAAGCTACATGTAACTTAAATCTAGAGGGGACTGCAAGTGGTTCTAGACTTAATACTATGAAACATTATTGTTTTGGTAGCTTGATTAAACAGTTCTTTGTCTCCTCTTTCTGCTTTCTCTCAAATTTTTGTTTACTGTTGCAGAATTATAAAGTCTTCAATTTGTACCATGTATCAATTCATACTAAAGCTCCATAGTCATATATCTGTATTTCTACTTCATGACTCCAAAGAAAGCTACCAAACTAGGCTGCCCAACTTCTTAATGCCTCATTCACGCTATGCCTAGATTTGTCTCAGTTGATCTGGAAAATAAAATGGTTCTAGTGAGGAGATGACACCCATGTGTGTTTAGTGTTATATGTGTACAGTTGATACTTGAACAACATGTGAGTTGGGGACAGTCAAAAGTCCATGTATAACTTTTGACTCCCCAAAAACTTAACTCCTAATAGTCTACTGTCAACCAGAAGCCTTGCCAATAACATAAAGTTGATTAACACATATTTTGTGTGTTGTATGTGTTATATACTATATTCTTACGATAAAATAAACTGGAGAAGAGAAAATGTTGTTAAGAAAATCATAAGGAAGAGAAAATCTATCTACTATTCATTAAGTGGAAGTGGATCATCATAAAGTTCTTCAACCTTGTCATCTTCACGTTGAGTAGGCTGAGGAGGTGGGGGGATTGTTAGTCTTGTCTCAGGAGTGGTGGAGGTGGCAGAGGTGGAGGATGTGAAAGGGGAGGCAGGAGAGACAGGCACACCTGATGTAACTTTACAGATATCCATGGTCATTTCTATCTGACATTTTTGCTTTTTCATTTCTCTAAAAATATTTCTTCCGTAACTTGCTTTAGTTTAAGTGCATCATCGT